CCCCCCCCCCCCGCCCAAAAGACAATGTGTCTCTGCATCACTAGGGGCTATAGGCCTTTTAGAGTCAGCGGGTGCTGTTGTTTTCATGGCTGTGAGGTTTGTCCACCAGTACAGAGATGTACTGCTAAACCAGCTTATTTTTTTACCCATTAATACATGTGCATGTCGATGCTCTACTTTCAGTTTTTACCACACTGGGTTCTGAACAACTAGATTTCATGCATACAAAATGCGTGCAAAATATTACATGCAAATGTGCTATTGTTTATTTTGGTTTTACATGGGTATTGTTTCTACACTTAGATTAGATTAAATGTAGAATTTTAATGTCTATAGATTAGTACTCAATACGGACCAAGTTCTTCATAATGTATCACAATGTCCAGCTGGTGTGTGGCCACAAACAATTTATGTGCAGGTTAATATAGTCATAGTTGGGTCTCTAACTGTGTCTTTGGATATCTAGGGGAGCAGAGGAGATTTTCCAAGCATTAGAGGACAACCAGGTGACTCTCTCCACGATGAAGGCATCCCGCTTCATACGTGCCTTTGAAAAGGAGGTGGACCACTGGGAGCGCAGCCTGTCACTGATCCTGGAGGTCATTGAGATGATCCTCACAGTGCAGAGACAGTGGATATACCTGGAGGTAGGAGGCCACCATATATAAAGAAACCTGATCACAATCTGTCCTGTCCAGTTAGCTTTTGTGGATGTATCTGGTGACAGTGGACATACTTGGAGGTGTGCATTGTTCTGTCTCACCCATACAGTATTTAACAGGAATGTTCACACATTTTTGAGAAACTGATGACTGATGACCTTGATTTTTACCCACACTTCTACACTCTCCTTCAGAATATCTTTTTAGGTGAAGACTTTAGGAAACAGCTGCCTAGAGAATCCAAGGAGTTTGATGAAATCAACTCTAGCTGGAAGACTATCATGGATTGTTTGAACAAGGACAGAAATGCCCTGAGAGGAACGCACCACCCTGGTATGTAAGGGGAGATAAGAAGAACATACCATTGGGGAAGGTGGGGAGGACATCTGTTGCATACACACCTTTATGGGTCAGCAGTTCACCTGAGGGATTGTCAGATTATTAAGTGAAGACTCTTTCTGTTTTAATATAAGTTTAGTTGCTGCCCCAGAGCTAATTTGTTCGGGGAATTCTGCAGTATTATACAGGTTCAAGATATAGATGTAAAATGGGAACAGCACAGCAAGAAATGTCAGCTGTCTCTCTTCATCTACCACCCTGTCTCACGCTTCTCTCTTTCCTTTCACTCCGTCACTCTCCCAGGGCTGCTGGAGAAGCTGTCAGAGATGAACAGCAAGCTGGAGGAGATCCAAAAGTCTCTGGATATGTACCTGGAGACAAAGCGGCAGATCTTCCCACGCTTCTACTTCTTGTCCAACAATGACCTGCTGGAGATCCTGGGCCAGACCTGCCACCCGGAGGCTGTGCAGCCACACCTCAAAAAGTGCTTTGACAATATCAAGAGCTTGAGGATCAACAAGGTGCTACTCACTCACACTCAGGCACACTGTCTCTAACACACTCTCTTGCACACTTACTCGCACACTTGCACTCTCACATATATTTCCTTTTCTTCCCGGTCTTCGCAGGTGTTTTACCAAGTAAATGCAGTGAACAATTCCTAATTCTATTCAGAGCTTAGACTGAAAACTGCAAACAAATTTGATACCTTGAGAATTTTTTACATGGGTGAATGTAGAAAAACAGCTTTGTCTGTCACAATGCCTTTCGCAAAGTTGCACACAGAAGCAGCGCTCAGGGTTCTGCTCTGCAGGTGGGGATCAGCAGTAAGATAGAGGCCAGCGGCATGTTCTCAGCCGACGGAGAGTTTGTGGAGTTCACCCACCCCGTGTTGCTGGAAGGGCCGGTGGAGGTGGGTGTAGCTGTGTCTTTAAGAGCCTCCGCTGGGGGACCTTACTCCGTAACCGTGGTGCTGAAGAGACTGGAGGTAGAGTCTTACCAAAAGGCTTTTAGCACTTTTCCTCTCAGGATTTCCAAAAAGCAGCAGGCGCAAAGCAGGCTTTAGTGCAGCAAAGAGCCTCTCAGAAACATTCATGGCACTGTGGGCAATTTAGAGCCTGCAGTTTACATTACCAATCTGACTTTGAATTTGTGAGGAATCCGGAGGAACCCGGGGGAATATGCAGGTTCTGCACATTTTGAGATAGAGATGCGACCATGGAAGTATGAAAGGACAAGGTCTGTAGGCCCCACTGCGCGGTACTGAATGTGTGTAATGACACTGTCTGTAGGCCCCACTGCAGGGTACTGAATGTGTGTAATGACACTGTCTGTAGGCCCCACTGCAGGGTACTGAATGTGTGTAATGATACTGTCTGTAGACCCCACTGCAGGGTACTAAATGCATGTAATGACACTGTCTGTAGGCCCCAATGCAGGGTACTGAATGTGTGTAATGATACTGTCTGTAGACCCCACTGCAGGGTATTAAATGCATGTAATGACACTGTCTGTAGGCCCCACTGCAGGGTACTGAATGTGTGTTATGACTGTGGCTGTAGGCCCCACCGCAAGGTATTGAAGGTGTGTAATGACTGTGGCTGTAGGCCCCACTGCAGGTTACTGACTGTAAGTGATGCCTGTCTGTGGGTCCCCCTCAGGATTGGCTCTGTGATGTTGAGCGCACTATGCGCTGGACACTAAAAGAAAATCTGAAGAATTGCCGGCAGGCTCTCACCAAGTCATCCAGAAAGAGGGAAAAGTGGGTGAAGGATTGGCCGGGTCAGGTTAGCATGCTGGTTTTCTGTATGTCTCACACTGGATCCAGTCTATTGGTCCCATTATTTATGGCAGTAAAGTAATTGGTCATTCTGTGCCTGTACATTAATGTATTCTCCCATCTCTGTGTGTTGCCCTCTGGCTCTTGCCTCTCTCTGTATGGGTTTTTCTGCACCACCCTGGTTTCACCACGCTTTGCTGTGCGTCTGTATGCGGCATTGCAGTATCTCTGTATTTGATGAAACTTAAGTGTATGTTTGTGTTTGTATCTGATTAGGACAACCTATATCCCTTTATTTCTGTTTTATATTGTCTGGCTTGTAGCTGCATGATGTTCTTCCATATGCGCAGATGCTGATCACGGCCAGCCAGATCCACTGGACCGCAGATGTTACCAAGTCCTTAGCCATTAGCAAAGAGGAGACTAAGACAGCCCTGAAGTCTATGAAAAAGAAGCAGGTAAGAGGAGTTGCTGTTTAAAAGGGAGGGCTCTCTCTTTATTGAGTTCTGCATTTATAAAGTCCCTCATTTCTGGTCTCCAGGTGTGCATACTGAATCGGTACTCAGACGCAATCCGAGGCAATCTGTCCAAGATCATACGGCTGAAGATTGTGGCGCTAGTAACAGTGGAGGTTCATGCTCGTGACATCATCGACCGGCTGATGAAGTGCGGCTGCTTGGACACAAACTCCTTTGAATGGCTGGGGGGGGGCAGTCTGTGCTGGGAGAAGGTGAGGGGGGCAGTCTGTACTGGGAGAAAGTGAGAGGAGGCAGTCTGAACTGGGAGAAGGTGAGAGAGGATAATCTCTACTGGGAGAAGGTGAGAGGAGGCAGTCTGTACTGGGAGAAGGTGAGAGCAGGCAGTTTGTACTGGGAGAAGATGAAAGAGGATAGTCTGTACTGGGAGAAGGGGAGAGTAGGCAGTTTGTATTGGGAGAAAGTAAGTGGGGCCAGTTTGTACTGGACGAAGGAAGGGGGGCAATTTGTACTGAGAGAAGATGAGAGAACAGTCTGTACTGGGAGAAAGTGAGAGAGGATAGTCTGTATTGGGAGAAGGTGAGAGTGGGCAGTCTATACTGGGAGAAGGTGAGAGNGAGAGGATAGTCTGTATTGGGAGAAGGTGAGAGTGGGCAGTCTATACTGGGAGAAGGTGAGAGAGGATAGTCTGTATTGGGAGAAGGTGAGAGTGGGCAGTCTGTTCTGGGAGAAAGTAAGTGGGGCCAGTTTGTACTGGACGAAGGAAGGGGGGCATTTTGTACTGAGAGAAGATGAGAGAACAGTCTGTACTGGGAGAAGGTGGGGGCAGGCAGTCAGTACTGAGATGAGGTGGAGGTACAGTCTGTACTGGCATACAGTGAGAGGTAGACACTAAGACTGGAGTGTTATAATGACATAGACAGGATGGGAAATGTGCATGATTAGGCAGCACAGAACCGTATTATTTGTGAGACTGAGCTCTTCATCTTGAAAATATGTGTGGGCAGGAAGTGGACAACTGCACCATCAAACAGACCAACACGCAGTTCCTCTACGGCTATGAATACCTGGGCAACTCTGGACGGCTGGTCATTACGCCCTTGACAGACAGGTAACGCCCACGACCCCTGACCCCTGCAGGCACGCTCGTTAGCATCTCCTCAGTTAACAAGCAGTGCTCAGCCCTGCACTACAGAAATAGGAAGGAGACGTTAATAAAGCACACTGGCAGGCAGAACACACGGCCACGTTTTAAATCGGTCCCCCCAATCCAACTCGGTCAAAACCCATCTGTGCCATCTCCACACCATCCCGTCACCCCCACACTATCGACAGCTTGGTTATGACAGCGATGACGACTCCTGTGCTAAAAATATATTTTTGGGATGAAACCCTGCATCACTAGGGTGTCAGTATTATATATAACCAAACGATAAACCAACACTGCTGCCAGCATGTGAACTGAACAGCCATTTACTGGAGCCACCTATAAGCCCCATCTTCCTCCAGATGCTACATGACCCTGACCACAGCCTTGTACCTCCACCGAGGGGGCTCCCTCAAGGGCCCCGCCGGCACGGGCAAGACGGAGACTGTGAAGGATCTAGGCAAGGCTCTAGGCATGTACGTCATTGTGGTTAACTGCTCTGAAGGCCTGGACTTCAAATCCATGGGTCGCATGTACTCCGGATTAGCACAGGTACTGTTGATGTCAGTGGAACTTTTGTACAGTATGCAGAATCAGGTCCTACAGTTACTGAACCCAGATACAAAACACCAATGTATAATACAGTCATGCAACTATTGTGAGAAATGTACTGTTTAAATATATATGTCATTGCCCAAAACAGATACACATTTACTGTGCCAATATAAGCATGATTACTGTACAACATGCTATATACAGTATATATACAACACTGTAGTACATCTACCTACATTTACACATAGATAATACATTCCATTGTTAGATATTACATCATACACATATTGGTACTATGGTACTCATGCACAAAGTGCAATAGTTATACACAGAAACTGTTGCCCAAAACACACATTTAAGTTATGTTGAGTGTGACCTACCCATGGAAGCATAGACACCCTGAACTGTTTGCTTGTCTACTGACAGACTGGAGCATGGGGCTGTTTTGACGAGTTCAACCGCATCAACATTGAGGTGCTGTCAGTGGTGGCTCAGCAGATCCTGTCCATCCTGACCGCTCTCTCTGCCTACGATACCAACTTTATCTTTGAGGGCCGACAGATTCCCCTGGTGCGGTCCTGTGGCATTTTCATCACCATGAACCCTGGTACAGTGTATCTTCATCATGGAACACCTGCAGAACATCACTATGACCAGCTATGACCTTAGATATCTACAGAACATCAATATAACTTATAACCATAAATACCTGCAGAACATCACTATGACTGGATATAACCTTAAATACCTGCAGAACATCACTATGACTGGATATAACCTTAAATACCCACATAACATTACTATGAGCAGCTATGACCTTCCTGCAGAACATGACCGAGATTCACACTGAATATCAGCATAACATGCTATGACACAGAGAATCTCACTATAGCCTGGTAGGGTATATAAGAACCTCTGACAACCATTAGCCAGTAACGGAGCAAAATAAAATGCTGCTTATATCAGCACAGAAAGCTGTGGCGTATGATTGCAGGGAGAGTATATCCTCCCCTAGGGCAGACACTCACCCCATGGGCCGTCTGTTTCCCACCCAGGCTATGCTGGGCGCACAGAGCTACCTGACAACCTCAAGTCGATGTTCCGGCCCATCTCCATGGTAGTGCCGGACTCCACGATAATCGCTGAGATCACTCTGTTTGGGGAGGGATTCAACAACTGCAAGGTATGATATCTGCAACCCAGAGGGTGTCCTCTCAGGGCCGTGCTGAGGTAACTTAATCTATCCATCTGCTGTTAACACTGAAGGGCCAACAGATCACTGGGACTCCATAAGACCTGTGAAGCTGGGGGGATACGAGAGGCTCAGGCGTGCTTTCCACACTGCGTCCGTCCATCTCACTAGCACTGATCCTGGATCAGGGCCCATCTGGCGAGCCCTTTATTCCAGAGCTCAACTTCAGTGAGGGGCATGTATCGTGTGGGGAACGTCTGGAACGCCTCCTGGATTTATGGGAACGAAAAACACTGGAAGTACCTCTTAGATTCGGCTCTGGCTGCCGTTAGGCAGCTGGGAGTGAGGGACTGGATTGGCGGGGTGGAGATACAGCAGTGGCTCCCCTCCTGGACAGCTTTAGGAGTTAGTGCAAAAGCCTGGCAGTCTCTCTGGCACCACGGGGAGCGAGGAAGAGGTGCTTAAACAGCTGAAATAGGAGCGTGTTTGCTGGCTGTCGGCCCCCATTCCTCGCTGCTGCGTTCCACTGTTCGCTGCCTTATACTGTCACATGCCGCAGCTCTGGGTGAAAGGCAGCCGCGCCAACGCATCTCAGTGGCACTGCCATGCCTGCACTCTCCTGCCGGCCATTACCTGTGTCACAGGGTCAGCGTGATTACAGAGCTGCGTGTTTATAGGATGCTGCTGGTTCACAGGCTGCGGGGGCCCCCTGCTGATAGTCTGGCTTTCCCTTTATAAGCAGCTGGAACGGGGGAGGGGGCCTTGAGTAAACGTTCCAAGACAGGGCTTAATTAAAAGACTTTAAACATGCAATGGAAAATGTCTTCCAGAGAATGCGAGTCTCACTTCAACTTCAAACATGACACGTTCTGAAACATAGCTTCATTTACAGTACATTCCAGGACGACAGGTGATCTAATTGCAGTCACACAACTTTATGTGTAAGTCAAAGTACTATTCTTGTGTTTTTTTGGCATGAAATTAAAATGGCACTCCGGAAAAAAATATTCAGTTGTGCCTTAAATATTGAATATCAGAGTGCTGCACTCCACTGTGTGGCCTAGAAACACTAATAGAGATTTTTCTGGGTCACAAGCAGTTTAAGTGTCAATACAAGATTGATTGTTTGTTCCAAGGGTAAGTTCCCCCGCTTAATTACTCACAGCTGTTAGTACAAACAGAAACCTGGAATGGCTCATGTCAAAGATATAGCGGCCCCAGTGCGCACTGAGCCCATCCATTTCTCATTGTGAGCTGCTGAACCAGCGGGCCGGCGGCGCCCTGCTAAATGGGGCCGATCCAGTAAAACACGTGCTGTCGGGGGAGCGCCAGTCATGGGGGGCGGACCCGTCTGCATCTGCCTCTGGAACAGGCCCCCAGGGGTCTGCCTCTGACCAGTGCTGACCTCATCGTCCTCTCATTAAACACAGCACGCCCACTCGTAATGACCTGCCCGGCAATAGGCCCCAGGCTGCTCTCAGAGCAGGAGTGCACTGGGGCCGCTCTGTGTCTCTCTTATTGTTCTTCTGTGATTATTGACTGTCTGGCTCTCTTCATATGCATGTTTCATTTCCTGAGTGTGTGTGTGCATTCGAACGTGTAATTACTTTTGTGTTCATATGTATATACTGTATTTGTTTACCATATGTATAGGATGTTTGTGCATTTGTGTTTGTGTGTGTGTGTGTGTTTCTGTGTTAATGTGCGTGTGTTTTTCTGTGTTGTGTGTGTGAGGGGGGATTATGTATGTGTGTATATCTGTGTGTGTGGGGGGTTATGTATGTGTGTGTGTATCTGTGTGTGTCTGTGTCTGGGTGTATTTCTGTGTTGTGTATGTGCATTCGGTCCCCACAAAGATCTATGCATGCAATCAAAAACTAAAAATGCCTGAAGTCATTGCATCTTGTTGGTTACTTATGGTTAAGGTTAGGGCTGGGTAGGGGTTAAGGTTGCCATTTTGGGATTAGAATTTTCCCAAGAGTCTGGAGAGTCGTTACATAGATATAATTACAAACCTCTGTGTGTGTGTGTGTGGTGTGTGTGTGTGGTGTGCATGTGTGTGTGTGTGTGTGTGTGTCTGCATGTGGATGGCGCCGTTATGCAGTGGGCCCAGCCCTCGTCGGGTCTGGGTATTCAATTGGTACTCCAGTTTCTCACAGTTCAGACATGCAGTGAAGTGAATTCCCATCCCTGAATTTTCCACAGTGTTTTCCCTGTAATGGATCGGCAGCCCCTCAATGGTGCCCCCCGCCTTGTCCTGGTGTAGGCTCCAGGCTCACCATCTCCATCTAATCATTTATTACGTAATTATGACGTAATGACGTGAAGTGTGTTCTGCCTCTGCCCTGTCTCGGTAGAGCTAGCGGTGCTAGCACTTAGCTGTGGATGTTTCAGTTTTAGGTAGCTATGCATAGCAGACATACTTCTGTGGTACTTATTCCCTGCTTTCAGCTCATCTTCAGACACCGCTGCTCCTCTGTGGACACCATGCCGCAGCATATAGTACATGTGCAGCCTCAGCCTGAGATCACCTGTGTGGATGTTTTTAATTGCCACTAATTTGCAATATTATAATTCTCCAAAGCCAAACAAAGATAGGGAAAGAAATCTAATCAATCAGAGATGCTTTACAAATTTATTATTGTAAATCTTGTGACACTTTATAAAACCATATTGCCAGCGACTAGACTACCATGACCAAAAGCATCTACTAATAAATCTGTTAGTCAACTACAAAGTAGAACCCCTAGTGTCCACTTGTGTAGATGCGTGTGCATCCTCGTGTGTGTTTGTGTGTATTTACAGGTTCTGGCCAAGAAAGTCTTCACATTGTACTCACTGGCTGTACAGCAGCTGTCGAAACAGGACCACTATGACTTTGGGCTGCGCGCCCTCACCTCTCTGCTTCGGTACGCAGGGAAGAAGCGCCGATCGTGCCCCGGAATCACCGACGAAGAGGTGGGCTGGGCCACAGTGCACACGGCACCCACGGCAGCCCCGGGTTAGGGCTAACACACAGGGGAGCGAGACAGCCATCGTTATCGCGAGTTAGAAAGTGTTTCACCCATGACAGAAGCTCTAGGAAGATGTTATCCAAATGTGTTTTTTTGTTTTTGTCAGATGTGTTAGTGTGCAAAGTCTGTTACTCGTATTACTGCAGAAAAAAAACACTAAGCAGGGGTGACAGACAGCTTGTTTTCGTCCAGCCAACCCTGTAGTCCATATGCACGTCACTCCCAAACCCACACACACTGTCCCCTATTAGCCTTAGCCTCACTAGCCAGTATCTGGTATCAAAGCGGGGCCCTTTGCAGCTACAGTGTTCGGCATGTGTTCAACGTCCCGCTCAGATCCTCCTCATGTCCATGAGGGACCTGAACGTCGCCAAGCTGACCTCCGTTGACCTGCCGCTCTTCGACAGCATCATCCAGGACCTGTTCCCTGCCACGGAGACCCCCACCAACGACTATAGCAAGGTGTGTCTCCATTGAGCCGCATTCCCTGGACTATCCTTGGTGTCACTCAAACCCTCTTCCCCGCAGCCCTTCACTCATTAAAGGAGAACATGCCATCAGCAGCTTGTAAGCTGACTTACATCACATATTTATTTTGAACAGGAAGCTATATCAGCTCTAAAATTAACCTCATGCATTTTGAATGACCTGATCTTTGCCAGAGATAAAGGCTCCTTTGAAGCAAAGCATCATCACGTTTTTGAAGGTGCACACCTAGCCACTGGGAGCTGCCAGCTAGTCCTTGGCACAGTTAATCTGCAGCTTCTGTGCCAAGCTTTGAAACAAAGACAAGTCAAATTGCAAACTGTATCATTAGAAATAGTCTTTGGTTTGATTTTCCTACCCATACAAGGTCAATCACATGCTTCGAACTAAAAATAAACAACTTGCCCCTAGAACTCTGTGTTGGATAAGGAGAAGCCTGAAAATCTTAGCTGTGGTTTTCACTGATTTTAATGAACTATTTTCACTGGAACCATTTAGTACAGCATATGCTGTTATGGGCGTTAACACTGGAAGAAAGCCACCATGAAACTTTGAAAACGCCAACTTAAAACTTTAAAGTTAGGGAACGTCTGACCTTGCTTTTATTTTTGTCACTTAAATGATTAATGTTCCGTATATATAATGTGACAGCCCTGAACTTATTTTCTTCATGGCTCAGAATGAATGATCAGAATGGGCATTAACGCACAACAGTCAGCTGGCTCAGTGGGTGGCACCCCAGCCTCATGCCTCGGGGTTTAGGGTCATCGTCCTGCACCTGCTCTGTCCACCCCCCTTTGCCTGGGTTTCCTCTTCGTTCTTCCAGGCAGGTATCATACCTAGAGTCTCTGCATTGCCTGCTGTATGGATTGGCACCCTGTTCAACGCATGCTGCTGCCTCGTGCTCTGGGATAGGCTGCAGACCCTGCTGTGACCCTGTACTGCATAAGCTTTTAGAAAATGGATGCATGTGACAACATTAAACTTCTTTTCTTCAAGGCTCAGAATAAATGATTATGGGCATTAATCCACAATAAAAAGATTTTTAAATCCCAGAGAAAAATGCCTAGCAATGCAAGACCTGCCTTTGAAAGCTGTCACATTTGTGAATGTTTATGGAGTAATTGTCAAAATGTGATGCATTTCATCTGGAAGTGTGACGAAGGTGTTCATACTGGGCCCTGTGGTGTAAAATAATACCCTAAACAGGACTCCGGATTTAATGACTGTCCATTACAAAAGCATTGGCATTAATGCAGCACTTACAACAGCATGTCACATTACTTGTGAAGGTGTTTGGGAGATCAGCCTGTGAAGTCCTTTTAACTAAAGTGTTACTGTTAACAGACAACACTTCTAATTGCTGAGATCAGATACAGCTGAACTGTAGAGAGCAGTTAATTAACTGAGATCAATGTTAATAACAGACAATTTAGTGCTAACACACAGCTAAGTGCTGGGATCAGTCAGTGATGGTGCATGGATTAAGTGACATGATCATGCAATGCTAGTCTGATCAAGCAATACTAGCATGTGGCTAAGTGATATGATAAGGCAATGCTAGCATGTGTGATCAGGCAATGCTAACCTGTTGCTTAGTGACTCGATCAGATAATGCGACCATGTATGATCAGGAAATAATAGCCTGTGGCTAAGTGATGTGATAAGACAATGCTAGCATGTGTAATCAGGAAATAATAGCCTGTGGCTAAGTGATGTGATAAGGCAATGCTAGCACGTGTAATCAGGCACTACTAGCCTGTGGCTAAGTGATGTGATAAAGCAATGCTAGCACATGTGATCAGGCAATACTAGCCTGTGGCTAAGTGATGTGATAAGGCAATGCTAGCACGTGTAATCAGGCACTACTAGCCTGTGGCTAAGTGATGTGATAAGGCAATGCTAGCACATGTGATCAGGCAATACTAGCCTGTGGCTAAGTGATGTGATCAGGCAATGCTAGCACATGTGATCAGGCAATACTAGCCTGTGGCTTAGTGACGTGATCAGGAAGTGCTAACGTGTGGATGATTGATGTGATAAGGCAATAGCATTGCTGTGCTAGCACAGTGCTACATACTCAACTCAGCTCATTTTTCTCCTTAGCTGCGAGACACTATAGAACTGGAACTGCAGCAGAGCGGCCTGCAGGTCACACCTTTCACTGTGACCAAGGTCATCCAGTTGTACGAGACCAAAAACTCCCGCCACGCCTCCATGATTGTGGGCACCCCAGGCAGCGGCAAGACGGTCACCTGGAGGACTCTGCAGAGTGTCCTGAACTCCATGCACCGCAAGGGCGAGCCTGGCTTCAACCTCGTCCGGGTCGGTTTTCCAGCCGGCCTCTCTGCCTGTCTGTCTTTTACAGCTGGTCTGACAGAGTCACCACCCTGTAGCACGTCACTACCTTAACTTAGAAGACACTTTTAAATTCTGTTTTTTAATTCACTTGTACATCACCAATGTACAAATGTACCCTTTTGTACCGCTGACTATTCCCTGACCCATCTGAGCATCTTGCATTTACATTTATTTATTTAGCAGATGCTTTTGTCCGAGCAAAGCAGATAGTACATTACAAGCATTAAGGATACATTAAGGACACAGCAGTAAGCTTCCCCTCTTCAGCACCAAAAGCCTGCGTGCTTAGCGGCCTGCTGACACATTCGGGGCTCAGTGCAGCACATCTTGGAGCTGGGAGAGGAGGAATAATGTGCTGAAGAGGCCTGCTGATGTGGAAGGGGATCAGTCACCCAAGCAAAGGTGGCTCTCAGAGCCATAGCAGACCCTCACTCTCATCCTCTTTACTCATTAGCCGTACTACATCACTTTACATACCCTTTACTCTACTCTGCTCTCCTATTTTTATTCTATTTGTTTTTTTTTTGTTGGAGTTTTTTTTACTAGTATTTTGCTTTTGAGAAATGCACTAACATCCTCAGACTGAGCAGGGATGAAAAGACAAGAAGAGAAGGAGAAACTGGGTTTGTTTACCGCTAAACGTCGGTAAGGCTGCTGCTGTCTGTAAAGGCTGCCTGCTGTAACCGCCGGCAATGGGGGCCTAATGAAACAGCTCTTTTGCACCGCTGTCGGCCGCGACGGCCTTCGTAGCCGCACATCCCCTTGAAGCCAGATCTTTGTCTGTCCTCTAGTGCTGCATCACTTCGTGTATCTCCCGGCTGTGGCTAAAAATAGTTGGTTTTTTGGGTAGATTCTTCTAGCCCGTCGTTACCCCCTGTCTACCCTTACATATTTGATCTACCCTTTCATCCTGTCCTTTAATGCCTTCTCTCCATCCCTTCCTCTTCTCGTCCCCCTCCTCTTGGTGCCCATTTCATCCCAAACCTCTCTTTACACCTTCTCGCCGTGTGTTTCTCTGGGGTTTTAGACTCGTCTTCTTCTCCCCTGTCGCCTGTGACTCAGCCCCCTCTCCGCATCTATTCACGGCCCACCTTTCCTCTGCTCTTTCTTCCTCTCCCTTGTGACTCAACGCCTCGCTCTTAATGCTGCTATTTCTGGGATCTGTCTCTCTCCTCCTCCGCCAATAACACCTCCACCTTCCCCTCGTTACCTTCTGCTGCACGTTTAATCCTTTACCCTCTTTCTGACATTTTCGCACTTTCAACAACCAGAAATGTTTTGCAACCCTTACCCTTCTGCCCTTTTCTCTCTTTGTTTCTGCTGCCTTGTTTCATTATTTATACGCTTTGTTCTCTTTCTAGCTGGTAAACCCCGCCCCCTGCATCTAGTTTACCTTTGACCTTTGGCCTTACTTGTAGGAATTCCCCTTGAACCCCAAGGCCGTGAGTCTGGGTGAGCTGTATGGGGAGTACGACCTCTCCACCAACGAGTGGACGGATGGTGTGCTCTCTTCTCTGATGAGGGCGGCCTGTGCAGGTATGTGCAGGGGCAAGGGGAGAGTCGCTATTAGGGCAGAGGGAAGTACAAATTAGATAGAGATAGACGGAGAGGGAGGGAGGCAAACACATCATATGAAACTAATGCCATGTCCTGCTACAACCATCACCTCCACTCCTCTGTAAACCGCATCCCACAGGTCCTCTTTATACAGAAGACTGTCAGTCGCATCTTGAAAATTTCCCAATTAGGCCTTAAGGGCCGGTCTTCAGGACTGTAGTCCTTAATGCTGAGCCGCATTCCCCCAACCGCTTTCCAGTTTCCTACACTGTGGAGGGCTGTGGGACTGCTGCCGTTTGACGCCCGTGTGACGTCCGTGTGACTCACAGCCTCGAGCCTCACTCCCGAGTCACCCTGCGTCTTTCTGCTCCGCAGTCGGCACTCTACGCTGGTCACGCTGGCCCCTCACCGCGCACAGCATTGTTACCTGGGGCTACTTACTCACAAATAAAACTGTGTACTTGCATATTGTTGGGCTCTGCATAAAAAAGGATCAGTCACCTAGAATTTATCCATCTTCCATAAATATAGTACAGGGCCAAGGCAAACCAGGAACCTTCCCCAGGAAACAAAGAGAACATCCTGGACTGGATATCAGTCCATCACAGGCACAGACATCCAGGTGCACATTGAAGCACCCTAGTTCACCTAACTAAATAATTCTGGGCAGTGAAGGAAGTTAGAAAGCCCAGAGGAACCCCAGGAGAGCATTCACAATCACAGAACCAGGTGTGGTAACCAAACCCACATCCAGGGAAGCTACCCACTAAGAGACTCACATAGGATTATTTATTTGTTAACATTTCCCTAAATATGACAGAAATGTGGCATCAGAAAACACTGTTTACCTTCAGGAGAGCACTAAGCTCATGCTAGGCAATACGATGACATTTAATGAAGCAGCTACTTACATCTGTGGCTGCAGACCATTTGTATCAGTAGCTTAATTCTGCACATTTTTATTGGCCTCTAGTGACCCTGTCACTGTATTAATGACTGGCTGGCTGTAAGGCTGTCTTACACTATCACCATGCAACTGCTTTACTGTGTGTGGATGGGTATCAGTGTGTCCGTGTGTGTCTGTGACTGTCAGACAGTTCTGATTACCTTATCCATCCTCTTTGTTGTTTATCTATGCATTTGTGAGTTTATTTGAATCATCTTTATTCTCAAAACACTATCAGTTTGATATTCATTTTGTATGGTGTAAATCAGCCAGTAAGTGGATGTAGTCAGGTTCTGTGGTATAAACTGGATGGTGAGTGTAGGTAGTCTGACTGTACGCTGTAAACCGAATGGTGAGTGTAGGTAGTCAGACTGTATGGTGTAAACAGTATGGAGAGTAAAAATTGCAGATAGTCAGGCTGTATTGTGTAAACCAGGCTGCGAGTGTAGGTAGTCAGGCTGTACAGTTTAAACCAGGCTGTGAGTGTAGGTATTCAGGCTGTACAGTTTAAACCAGGCTGCGAGTGTAGGTATTCAGGCTGTACAGTTTAAACCAGGCTGTGAGTGTAGGTATTCAGGCTGTACAGTTTAAACCAGGCTGCGAGTGTAGGTATTCAGGCTGTACAGTTTAAACCAGGCTGCGAGTGTAGGTAGTCAGGCTGTACAGTATAAACCAGTCTGAGTGTAGGTAGTCAGGCTGCATGGTGTAATCTGGACTGCGAGTGTTATCTGATATGGTACTGGTTGCCTTGGTCCCCTCTCTCCCCGATTTCAAAAGCAGCCATGGTGTGCTCTCTGCCTGTGTCTGCTTTTGGCTAGATACAGTAAAACATCATACCTAAGCTGTCAACTACAGTCTGTCTACAAATCCAAAGTAAAGTCTATGCCTATCTACGTGTGTTTGCATCAATAACACTGCCCCGCGCAGATGAGAAGGCGGATGGAAAGTGGATCGTCTTAGACGGGCCAGTGGACACCCTGTGGATCGAGAGCATGAACTCTGCCATGGATGACAACAAGGTGCTGACACTCATAAACGGGGAGAGGATCTCCATGCCAGAGCAGGTACAACTACACGCTCCACTGAGCTGCACACCCCGAAAGGCGCTGTGATAACAAAGGCCACGAGCAAGAGAGTCTGTGTGGCGTCTGTGTGTCCATCTGCCCCAGTCTGTCTACAGAGCACCATAGCCGCTGTGTTGTTTTTATTGTTTGTTGATCTGCTTAGCAACCAAGTTTATCCAGAGCAACTCACTCAACTTAGCTGTTAGACTTTCTCCGTGAAACGCAGCTGAATGGGGGTGTTACAGCGGTTAAATGGGCAGCGCTGCCCCCCCCCCCCCCCCCCACTTCCAAGGTTGGGGTTTGAATCCTGCCCCCTCTGTGTGTATGTGGAGTTTGCATATATTCTCTATATTTTGTGGCTTTTCTTTGGGTATTCCTGTTTCCCCCACAGTCCAAAAATATACGGTCCAGTGAATTTGGCATATTTAATTTCCCCATTGTGTGTGTTTGTGTGTGGCCTGCAGTGCACGGCCATCCTCTCCTGGGATGAATGGGCCTTAGTTTCAGCCATGGAGAACATTGCTCAAGGTTCCCCCTGCAGCTGCTTGGTGATGTGTCTGTTGCCTCTAGGTGTCCCTGCTCTTTGAGGTGGAGGACCTGGTGGCAGCTTCCCCGGCAACTGTGTCACGCTGTGGGATGGTCTACAACGACTACACAGACCTGGGCTGGAAGCCCTTTGTGCAGTCCTGGCTCCAGAAACGCAGTAAGGTACAGGGCTCCGCCCCAGCAGCACCCACGTGTCCTTCAAATGCATCTGTTTGTAGGTGACAGCTGGTGTTCAGACATAAACCATGTTGGAAAAGACACTTTATGTATGTTCTGTAGCAGCCAATAATGTAACAAGTACCCTGATGTAACAACTGCCAATACCGTGATCATTTTTCCATTCATACTGTAATGAAAGTCAATAATGTAATTAACTTTCTGAATCAAAAACATGAATGTTTGTGCATAATGTATTAAGTTATTACCTTATTGGTTGGTTATTACATTATTGTCTGTTATCACGTTATTGGCTGCAAAATGTGTGTCAAACAGTGTATAGCACTGTGGCCTCACCTATAGGGCTATGACATGATTCCTGTTTGGGTTCCATCTTGGTGGAACTTGCCTACAACTTCTGTGCCAGTGTGGCCTCTTCAGTGCAGAGACATGCTGTCAACTTCTAAGTTGGGTGTATACACTCACCTAAAGGATTATTAGGAACACCTGTTCAATTTCTCATTAATGCAATTATCTAATCAACCAATCACATTGCAGCTGCTTCAATGCATTTAGGGGTGTGGTCCTGGTCAAGGCAATCTCCTGAACTCCAAACTGAATGTCAGAATGGGAAAGAGAGGTGATTTAAGCAATTTTGAGCGTGGCATGGTTGTTGGTGCCAGACGGGCCGGTCTGAGTATTTCACAATCTGCTCAGTTACTGGGATTTTCACGCACAACCATTTCTAGGGTTTACAAAGAATGGTGTGCAAAGGGAAAAACATCCAGTATGCGGCAGTCCTGTGGGCGAAAATGCCTTGTTGATGCTAGAGGTCAGAGGAGAATGGGCCGACTGATTCAAGCTGATAGAAGAGCAACTTTGACTGAAATAACCACTCGTTACAACCGAGGTATGCAGCAAAGCATTTGTGAAGCCACAACACGCACAACCTTGAGGCGGATGGGCTACAACAGCAGAAGACCCCACCGTGTACCACTCATCTCCACTACAAATAGGAAAAAGAGGCTACAATTTGCACGAGCTCACCAAAATTGGACAGTTGAAGACTGGAAAAATATTGCCTGGTCTGATGAGTCTCGATTTCTGTTGAGACATTCAAATGGTAGAGTCAGAATTTGGCGTAAACAGAATGAGAACATGGATCCATCATGCTTTGTTACCACTGTGCAGGCTGGTGGTGGTGGTGTAATGGTGTGGGGGATGTTGTCTTGGCACACTTTAGGCCCCTTAGTGCCAATTGGGCATCGTTTAAATGCCACGGCCTACCTGAGCATTGTTTCTGACCATGCCCATCCCTTTATGACCACCATGTACCCATCCTCTGATGGCTACTTCCAGCAGGATAATGCACCATGTCACAAAGCTAGAATCATTTCAAATTGGTTTCTTGAACATGACAATGAGTTCACTGTACTACAATGGCCCCCACCGTCACCAGATCTCAACCCAATAGAGCATCTTTGGGATGTGGTGGAACGGGAGCTTCGTGCCCTGGATGTGCATCCCACAAATCTCCATCAACTGCAAGATGCTATCCTATCAATATGGGCCAACATTTCTAAAGAATGCTTTCAGCACCTTGTTGAATCAATGCCACGTAGAATTAAGGCAGTTCTGAAGGCGAAAGGGGGTCAAACACCGTATTAGTATGGTGTTCCTAATAATCCTTTAGGTGAGTGTATATATCCAGCCATGGACCGGCATCCCATCCAGGGTCTACCCCTGCCTTGGAAAAACTCCAGGTCCTCCCAGTACCTTCTAACAGATAAGCAGCAGAGGATGGATGGATTGAAATTACATTTGGCCTGTAAATGTGTGTGTGAATCTATGTCCAGTACATCAAGGTTCAACGAAAATAATCAGACTTTACAACTCAAAATGATTAATCAGAGCAAACACACCACAGTGAAAAACAGTAATGAACCCCTATAGCTCAAAAAAAGAAAAAGCAGACACAGAGTCAATGCAGCAGTCCCCAAAACCTGCTGACTGGGCCACCTTGCCAGGGGCGGCCCTCTTACTCTTCAGCTCTCCTTCCTGAAATCCACCCAGCTAACCCTGTTTATACACTAATGAAACCAGCAGCCTAATCACGGTCAGCTGGGTTTTATTAGTTATGGTTCTTGTGTTTCTGGGACCGGTGATCAGTTGTTATGGAGATACATTTGGCCTCCCACCCGCTCACTAATATATCTAGATGAACTGTTTTACCTTAGATGACTCGGGCAGCTATAATAATGAATAACTATTAGTAGAAACTTGAAAGCATTGATTTTTTTTTTCATTTACAAGTGAGTCTCTTCATCTACGTTTCATTATGGTGTCTTATAACTAGCAAATTATTTCCATACCAGCTGTGTTCGGTAGTGTAAACGCCTGCTGAAACTCTGCTGACAGCTCGTCAGTCTCGGTGGTAGGGAGACACTTTGATGAACACAGCAGCACATACCATCTGCGTTTTGCTCCTCAAGTCGCCAGTTAAATTCTTCTTGCCAGTTTGACCAGGTGGGCAGGGAGATTTTTTGCTCACTAGAAAAGCTGTTTTTGTATCACATCTTCTCCGCGACTGGGCCTCGCGTTTCTCAGCCGGGGATCCGCACTCAGTTTTTGCCCCTTAAATTCACGCACTCATCTCTTGTAATGCCTCTCTCCACTCTCTGTAACTCACTACTGAGCTTGTCCAGAATTAAGGTTAAGTCAGTGGAAAAAGCCCACATCCAGTGGGCGCATTTCTCCCAAAAAAATCCTCCAGAACAGTTAATAAGGGCTACATTCCCAAAATCAACACTGAAGTATTAACTTCAGCTCTGTACATGATGAAAAATACGACCATAACCAAAAGTGCAATGCAAGAATAACACAAGTATTAGGTAGTATACATTGGGAACAAAGCCTGAATCAGCCATTAGAGATCTGTGCCAGTCAAATTCTTCCACACCAAATTCACCTACCATGTCTTTATGGACCTTACTTTGTGCATTGGGGCACAGTCATGCTGAAACAGAAAAGGGCCTTCCCCAAACTGTTCCAATAAAGATGGAAGCATAGAATTGTCCAAAACATCTTGGTATGCTGAAGCATTAGGATTCTTTGGAACTAAAGGGCCTGAACCCCTGAAAAAGAACCTCATACCATTATCCATCCTCCACCAAACTTTAGAATTGGTACTGGTAACGTTCTCCTGGCATTCGCCAGACCCAGACTTGTCCATCAGACTGCCAGACAGAGAAGCGTGATTCGTCACTCCACAGAATGTTTCCACTGCTCCAGAATCCAGTGTCGGCAGGCTTTACATCACTCCATCTGACGCTTGGCATTGCGCTTGGTGATGTGAGGCTTGCATGCAGCTGTTCGGCCATGGAAGCCCATTCCGTGAAGCTCCCGGTGCACAGTTTTTGTGCTGCATGGGGTTAATGCCAGGGGAAGTTTGGAACTTTGCAATTATTGCGACAGCAGAGCGTTGGCAACTTTTATGCACTATGCGCCTCAGCAGTCTGTTAGTTCATGTGGTCCTTCCACTTCGCAGCTGAATTTTTGTTGTTCCTAAATGCTTCCACTATGCAATAATACCACTTACAGTTGACCGTGGAACATCTAGCAAGGAAGAAATTTCACAAACTGACTTATTGCAAAGGTGGCATCCTATGACAATACCGCAGTTGAATTCACGGAGCCCTTCAGAACAACCCATTCTTTCACAAATGTTTGCAAACCAGACTGCATGGCTAGGTGCTTGATTTTATCCACCTGTGGCAATGGGTCTGAATGAAACACCGGAATTCAGTGATTGTGAGGTGTGTCCCAATATTTTTGTCTATATAGCGTATGTCCATACACAGTGTGCATGTCTGTGACATATACACATTGCATATGGTATGTACACGAGATATGGCTGTGTATGTCTGCTACGCTGTGTTCCGATGCTGTACTTTACCAGAAGAGTAACAAGGAGAACATAGAATTTAGGTTACCTTAACAACGGGCCAAGACGACAGCCAAAACATTGCCTGATGAAATTACTCTGGTCTGTAGCTGCCTCCTCTTTCTCCTGCACACTGCTTTATTACCTTCAGTACCGGGTAGAAATTCTGTGATTGCATTTGAAAGGCATGTGGGATGGATTGATAAGTAGCAGTCATCTGCAGTAAATCTTATTATTCGCTTAGCAGGTTTTTTCCAAGCAACTTAAACATCCTACCATTTCACACTGTTTTGTATTTACACAGCCTCTTGACACATTTCAAGTTAGGATCTTGGTTGAAAGATACAACAGAATTTCCCCTACAAGGTTTTAAGCCTGAAGTCTGTAGTCCACTTATAACCACGTCACTTACTATCTCATGCTCTCATACTCATTTCCTCCAATATACTTACTCATGCTCTCTAATACTTTCATGCACTTTCTCAGGCTCACATTCTCATATGATTAATACTCTCTCTTATACTCTCTCATACTCTTCCCAGGTGGAGGTTGACCACCTACAGCCCCTCTTCGACAAATACTTAGAGAAGACCATGGAGTTCAAGAGGACCCACTGCAAAGAGCTAGTGGCCATCACAGAGCTGAATGGCGTGAGCTCCCTCTGCAGGCTGTACCACACCCTGGCCACTCTTGAAAACGGGGTCAGCACTACTCATCTAGTCAGTCTCTCTCTCCCTCTCTCTCTCTATCTCAAGAGTCCTCACTCACTGTGAACCCTGTTTACCCACCCAGGTGAATCCTTCTGACTCGGTCAGCTATAGCCGCATGGTGGAGCTGTGGTTCACCTTCAGTCTCATCTGGTCAGTGTGTGCTTCAGTCAACGAGGACGGCCGAAAGAAAATCGACAACTTCCTACGTGAGATGGAAGGCACCTTCCCCAATAAGGTGACTTCCTTGTATTACTTCTGTTTATACAGCTGGCTGTTTTGCTACAGCCATTTAAATTAAATACTTCCTCAAAGGAACAACAGCTGTTGCCCCTCTGGGATGTGGATTTTTGGTCAAGTCCACTACACAAAAACACACATGCACTTTTAATTAAGGTACTCTTTATACTTTGTTGGTATTCATCAATAAGCTCTTTGTTTTGTCATTTCAAACGTCTCCACCAGGACACCGTCTATGAGTACTATGTAGACACCAAGAACAAAAGCTGGGCCTTGTTTGAGGACAGGCTGCCCAAAGGCTGGTGCTACGCTTCCAAGTAAGTGCCTGCCAGCCGGCGGGGGGGTAGGAGGGCGGGCGGATGCACTCATCTGCAGCGACAGACTCTTGGGCTTTGACCAGTCCTACTTATCTGCTGCATTGCTCACTATCAGGCAGAAATGTTGTTGATCATTGTTACTCTGTGCATCCCTGTCTTCTTCTGAATCCCGGCATGTCCCTCTCTGCCCCAGTATCCCCTTTTACAAGATAAAGGTGCCCACAGTGGATTCAGTGCGGTACCACTTCCTGGTGCAAGCACTGGTATGTGGGCAGTACCCAGTGCTGCTGACGGGGCCAGTGGGCACGGGCAAGACTTCTGTGGCCCAGAGCGTGCTACAGGCCCTGGAGCCTGCTGAGTGGGCAGTGCTCACCATTAACATGTCCTCCCAGGTGAGCATGACCGACTGGCAAATCGCCCATCCTGGGTCGCCTGGCCTATGAGTCAGGGTGCTGATGCATGACGGGTGTATTTGGGATAGGCAGGGAGCTTGTGCGTGATTGGTGGGGGTGTTCTGTGTGACCACGCGGGGTGCTGCTTGTGACGAACCTGCACTGGGTTCCCTGGAGGCTTTGCTGCGGGGCCCATAATCTAGGGACAGCCTGAAGACTGAGCTCGTGTCTTGAACTCTGGTCTCTGTGCCACCAGACTACATCCAGCAACGTGCAGGCCATCACAGAGGGCCGAGTTGAGAAGCGCACTAAGGGGGTCTATGTGCCTCTGAGAGGGAAGCGCATGCTGGCCTTTCTGGACGACCTCAATATGCCGGCCCAGGACGAATTCGGGTCCCAGCCACCTTTGGAGCTACTCCGCCTCTGGATCGACTATGGCTTCTGGTATGACCGGCAAAAGCAGACGCCTAAGTGTATCAAGGTAAAGAGAGAAGGGTGATGGGAATGTGGTACAGGGAGGAAGCCATAAGTGTAATATGTATCATAATGTAAGGCAGTATGGGTGTAACGCTTATGTATTTCCTTGTTTTTTCAGGATATGTTCCTTTTGGCGGCCATGGGGCCTCCTGGTGGAGGGAGGACTCACATCTCTGGTCGTCTGCAGAGCCGCTTCAACCTCATCAACATGACTTTTCCGACAGTGAGCTCCTAAAGGCTTATTCATGAATAAGTCAAAACAAATAATTATTGTTTTTGTTGGCTACACCTTAAAGTTTAAGATAATTCGATAAAACACCATGATATGGAACCTCTTTCTTGAAACGAATTACAGTGAAATGATTGAAATGCTTGCGATAAATTGTAGGACGTTCACAAATTTAGTATATGAATGATGATGATATGCACTGATATGATGCCTTAGTGAGATTTCCTGGGAGCTCATCATATGGATGTGTCCGTATAAAGGGATGTCTGGTTAAACACTTCACAGCCAAAGGTAATGAAAAATGCCACCATAATGAACGCAGGGGGTCAATGGCATTAGACTCCAGCATCTCTCTTTCCCATTTCTGTTCCCCAGGAATCTCAGATCAAGCACATCTTTGGCACAATGATAAACCAGAAGCTTCAGGAGTTCCAGGAGGAGGTGAAGCCCATCGGGGCAGTGCTGACGCAGGCTACCCTGGAGCTGTACCGCGCTGTTGTGGGCCGGTTCCTGCCCACTCCTGCCAAGATGCACTATCTGTTCAACCTCCGAGATATCTCCAAGGTGGGGGGGGGGGGGGACACTACAGGATCTGCTGGTCTCACGATGGTGTCTCAGTGAAATGTAACAGTATTTTCCAAAGGAGAGGCGGCAAATTTTTGTTGGCCTTTATCTGTCCTGTATTTGTGAGATTTATTTGCTTGTGTGACTTCAGCTACAACACAGAGAAAGCATGTTCCCAATTCCCACACTCACAGATGAAGGAACAATAAAAGCACAGGAGATCAAGGAGAAGGGAGGCACCCATGCATTAACAAAAGGAGAAATGAATATAATTTTTATTCTTTTTGTGAAATTCAGATTCATCACAGTTGACTTATGTTGTAACAGGTATTCCAGGGCTTACTGAGAGCTCATAGAGATTATCATGACACCAAGCAAGGCATCACCCGACTCTGGATCCACGAGTGCTTCAGGTACTGACTGCCATGTTCAACCCCATAAACCTGGAAGACTGGTTGATCAGAGGCTGTAACTGGCTTTGAAACTGTTTGATGAAGTTTTTATTGAGGGCAGACCGAGCTGGTATGTCTCTGCAGAGTGTTCTCCGACCGGCTGGTTGATCAAGGAGACATGGAGGCATTTGTGGTCCTTCTGGGTGAAAAACTGGGTTCCTACTTCGACGTAACGTACCACAGCATTTGCCCAAGCAAGCAGTCTCCCATCTTTGGTATGTTGTGCAATAGGATGGATGAATGATGCATGGGGTCTGACAGACTGATGGGTGATGGGATATGGACAGATTGATAGAGCAATGCCTGCATCAGTGTTCAGATGCACTTCACTGCCTTCTGTGTCTCAGGGGACTTCCTGAACAATCCCAGAGTGTATGAAGACATAACAGACATCAAGGCCCTGAAAAACTTCATGGAGTTGCAGCTGGAGGATTACAACCTGAGCTCTGGCGTGGTGCCTATGAACCTGGTCTTGTTCCATGATGCCATCAAGCACGGTCAGTGTCAGTCTGCTGAGGCGCTGGATGGCTTACAGTTCAGTGTGGACTGGGAATTGAAGCAGTCATTTTGAACAAAATGGCATTTAGTCTCTTGGCGCATCTGATCCATTGATCATGGCCAACCCCCGGGGTCTTGCCTTTTATTTGATTTTCGGTCTCCCGTGATTAATTTTCCATTCAGTGCCATGCTTTTCTTATTACTGACAGCTCACGGTCAATAATAGGTCTCTATTAAAGTTCAAGAGTTGCCTAGAAATTTAGCTGTCAAAGTGTCACTTGGCTCCTTAAAGCATTTTCCCACAGTATTTAAAATAATCTGCCTGTGAAAAGTCAGTGTCATCTCTGTGATTCATCACGTTAGTTTGCTCATGACTGGAAGCATGTCCAACAGCGTGTGGGCTGCTCTAGCAAATGTATACAACTGAATTTGTTCTTTGATGAGCTTGGCTAGGTGACATTTTCTTGAACAGATTTCCTACACTGCTGTGCTCTGCTTATCAGCCCTCCCCCTTGCTCTGTCGGTCCTCATCTATAACCCCGTGCTGTTTATCAGTCCTTATCCATGCCTGTGTAGTCTCCCTGGTGATCCTCCTGCTGGCTTTTTTCCTCTGAAGTGCCTCTCCAGCCTGCCTGAACACATGTCCTGCTTCCCTACAGTGCACATCATGATGGAGCACAGGACTCCTCAACCTTCCAGTCATTTTCTATTCCAGTAGACATTGTTTTGACTGTTTCTTCTTTGAGCAGACCTGTTAATTTGCTTCCCTGCTTTTTTTCTCTAGCTCTTGAAGTAAGGATTTCTTTCCCTACAGCTGTTTTTGTTGCATTGACAGCAAGCTGCTTTAGTCAACAGATGTTCGTGTCTGTTTTGAAGTCAGGAGCTTTAACAGAATCCAGAAACTCTACCTTGCCTTCAGGTTGATGGCTTGCATTGACTGGATTTCTTTATTACACTCATTATAGACTGTTGTTGTGTCACACTTGTTGCACTGATAGGATCTCCATATCTGTCACGACAGTTTATAGCTGAAGTCTGTGGGCTTACATCTTTTTTTGAATTCATTTCTTTGGCAGATGTTTTGCAACACAGACTAAACAGTTTGTCAGTGCTGTCAATTTTTAATGTCTTAGCCTCTGAAACCACCACTATGGCTGAAGCATATTGAGTTTTTTGTGTTCTCTCCCATTGGGAATCTGTTCGCTGTACACAGACTTGTTGATAGCATTTAAAAATCTACTTTCGTTTGTTCTCATTTTCATAATAATTGTCTCTAAGCCTGACAGGAGGACATTGCAAATAAGTTTAAATGACACTTCAAGTCTGCTGTGTGTTGAATACTCTGCTCATACATATGAATTTGAGTGGTGTGTTAACCATGAATCAAGTGAAATTGTAGTTTAACCAATTCAGGATCAGTATTTCTTAGTTAATAGAAAATCAGATTTAAAAAATGTAAATCAGTTAGTCAAAATGACTCCCTGCTATGTCAGTGACATGTTCAACAAAAAAAAATACAATGCATCTTCTCATCTTTGATTCTCACAGTAACCCATGTGGTGCGGGTGATCAGCCAACCTCGGGGAAACATGCTGCTGGTAGGCATCGGAGGATCGGGCCGCCAGAGCCTTTCCCGCCTTGCATCCTTCATCTGTGGCTATCAAGTCTTCGAGGTGGAAGTCACCAAACAGTATCGCAAACAAGAGTTCAGAGATGGTAAATGTCACCTGTCCAGTAGTAATAGGGAATAACAGTTATCTAGCATCTTGATCCAAGAGAGAAAGAGGCAACTAGCATGAGGTCAGAAAGGGCAAAAGTCACCTGGCAAGAGTTCAGATAGAGAAAGAGGCAACTAACAGGAAGTCAGAGAGGGCAAGAGTCACCTGGCAAGAGTTCAGAGAGAGAAAGAGTCACCTGGAAAGAGTACCGAGAGAGAAAGAGGCAACTAACAGGAGGCCAGAGAGGGAAAGAGTCACCTGGCAAGAGTTCAGAGAGAGAAAGAGTCACCTGGCAAGAGTTCAGATAGAGAAAGAGGCAACTAGCATGAGGTCAGAAAGGGCAAAAGTCACCTGGCAAGAGTTTAGACAGAGAAAGAGGCAACTAACAGGAGGTCAGAGAGGGAAAGAGTCACCTGGCAAGAGTTCAGAGAGAGAAAGACGCAACTAACAGGAGGCCAGAGAGGGAAAGAGTCACCTGGCAAGAGTTCAGAGAGAGAAAGAGGCAACTAACAGGAGGTCAGAGAGGGAAAGTGTCATCTAGTAGTTTTATGTATCTCCAAAATTCTAATTCAGAAGCATGAAAAAAATGCATTTTCTCAGAAACTGCTTTGAAAAATAAAGCTAAAATAATGAGACATCTTTAGCACCACACATAGAAACCTATCTTTCCATGGTGATGAGTGAATGGTTTAATGATTTAAATGGACCTATGTGGATCTTTGTCGGTGAGACAAATATGTCAGTGTCTACAAGATACTGTACAAATTAATCTTGCTTTATATTCACAATTAACAATGACGTTAGCTAGCTAGCTACACTACTAGTCAAAAGGTTTCTGCACACTGAAATTTTTATTTTTGAATGTTACTCACTTTAAAAATACACTCAATATTCTTTGTTAACAAATAAACTGACAGTATATTCACCACTTCAGTATCTTTATTAACATGAAAATGTCATACCTTTGATTCATCAAGCTAACCTCCTCTAGCTGTTATAACAGCAGAGAAAATTCAAGGCATTCTTCCTACAAGTGACATTAAATACTGCTCTGTTTCATGGGATGAAACAGTTACGTAGGGCATTTAAAGTTAAAGGACAGCCAATAATATGACTATGTCATCACCACACAACCAGTTAATAGGATGTCTACTGGCACTGTTACATACTCTTTCTATGTTATAAAATAATAATTTTATCTGACTTATACCATATTTTCATTTATAGTTGTTCACTCAACTTTCCAGTGCTTGACAAGAATAAAAAATACGCAGTTTATGAAATAAATTAAAAAGTAGTAAAAACTTCTGATATGCAACAACTTTTGACTGATAGTATATCTACCAATCAATGTTAAGTAGTTAAAATTAGTGATCAATACAAATGACCATCATGAATACACATTAACTAGCACAAACATAAATACTAGTTAAATAGATTACTTTTTCTGTTGGTCAATTAGATGTCAATGCTATCAGAACACAGAGAATAATTGTTGTATTCCATGTATAGTCAAAAGTCATAATTGTCAAAAAGGGGACACACTCGGCTTACATCGGACAGTGACAATATTATAGTACTCTACATATACAATTGTGCACCTTTCATGTCATTTTGTTTCGCCATTAATGACATTATGGTTATAAGACTGATGGTGTAGAGATAAGCATTAAAGTGACATCCCACTATCATATTTTTATTTTTTGTGCTACCAATTAAAATACAGTGGTACTTCAGTTCTCGAACTCATTAGAACTCAAATTTCTTAAAAGTCGAACCAACCAGTTTGAAAAAAAAAATTACCTAGAGCTCAATCTGAATCTCAGAAGTCAAACCGTGAACGCCGACCTAAGACAATCTGTAGGCACAGGGAAATGAGTCACGCGGCAAGTCTGTCAGCGGAAACAAAGGGTAATGCTTCAGTCTCAACCTGGCATTCGCTGTGATAGCACCGTGCATGTTTACACTAACTGAATACATATATTTAGACAGTAAAAATACATTTAGACAATGATAGACGGTAACAGTAATTATTATTATATAATAAAATAAATTTTAAAATAAAGATTTCTTATTAATTATTTTAATATTAATAATAAACCATTAATACATTTAATTATAATAATACTGTCGTGCTGAGCGGGGACGGAACGGAGACAAAGGCTCAGACGTCAGGGTATCGGGGAATACGGGGTTTAATTACAGGTAAGGCAGGCAAAACGCAGACGGACAATACAATGACCGGACTGGGGAAACGAACTGAAATGCGGACGAAATACAGAGGACTAATGACAACAACCAGAAACAGCTGATCACACGGGGATTCTACACGGGGTTAACGAGGGGGCGTGGCACACGGAAGGAGCGGATGATCGGGGCACGACACATTGTTTTTTATTAACATATTGTTTGGATACATTTATTTTCTTACTTTAAAAATTACCGTTTTGATAAATGTGCCTAGATGTGTTAGTACAGTATATGCTCTTCTTGTTTTATCCGGTTCATTTTGTGTTTAAATGTTAAAAAAAAAAACATATTTAGGTGTAATTTTTTGGGGCCAGGAACCAATTAATTGGTTTTCCATTATTTCTTATGGGGAAAATTCGATCACAACTCAAACTTTTTAGGATTCGATCCGGAGTTCTGAACGGATTAAATTCGAGTTCTGAGGTACCACTGTACCTTTGAACTCTGTAGAAGTTTAATAATGGTTATAATAAAGCTTATAATTTCTATGATGCAGACATTAAGAAGTTGTACCGGCAAGCTGGTGTTGACAACAAGCCCACAGTGTTTTTGTTCAACGACACCCAAATTTTGGACGAGTCTTTCCTGGAGGACATCAACAACATGCTGAATTCTGGGGAAGTGCCCAACCTCTACAAGCCGGATGAACTTGATGAGGTTAGAGCCACAGTCTCTTTGCTCGAATGTGGTTGGATATTACTAAAGTGAAGGTCCTGTCTCAAATTCAGTAAATGGGCCACAACTGTATATCCTAACTTTCATTCCAGTGATCCAGGTTTTCCAGGGTAAACCAAACTGCAAACTGGATGTATTTACTATCACCCCTCAGGTCCAGATGGCTTTGTCCAACGTAGCCAACATCCCAGAACATTCTGACGCCATATTCAGCTACTTGTTGGAGAGAGTTAGGGACAACCTACACATCATACTGTGCATGAGTCCCGTAGGTGACCTCTTCAGGTATGTCCTGTGCAGCCCCAGTACAACAGCCCCACCAAAGCAAATGTTGACCCCACATTAGCATTTCCTTAGCCCCACAGTAGCCCAACAATAGCATCACAGTAACACTTGACACTTGTCCCACACACAGCTGCACACTTGCTCACAATAGCTTAGCTTTTCAACTAAGGAGCACAGGCAGGAAAACGTGAAAACTGTCTCCCCTCCTGATATGTTATATGCAGTTACAGAATGGAAGGACGTGAAATAGGAAGCAGTGCATTGTGTGGTACTACTGTTCTACATTATACATATATGTCTGTTCACATTTCTGTAGTCTACCTGTATTGCAGGGAGAAGACGCTTCAGATTTTACTGTATATTAAATTATATTGACTTTATATCGCACAAACATTTTCTAAAGCTAAAATCAGAATCTTTAAAACCTAAATTTCAAAAATGATCATATAGTGTATGATAATGTACTGAATGATCATTTTTGAAATTTAGATTTCAAAGGTTCTGATTAGCCTTCATTGGAATTCAATGATATACATATATATATATTAGATGACAGGTAAACAAAAAGTGTATATGAAATTTAAAAAAAACTGAAATAAAAAAAACTTTATTTCATCATAAATGAAATAGAAGAGTCTGTGATACGTTCTCCTCTGGAAGCTGATGTGTGCTGCCTGTGCTGGGCAGAAATCGGATACGCCAGTACCCCGCTCTGGTCAACTGCACCACCATCAACTGGTTCTCCGAATGGCCCCACGATGCGCTTCTAGAGGTGGCGGAGAGGTACCTGGATGGGCTGGAACTGGGGAGTGTGGAGGGGGTAAGATCCTGTCCTCCATAGTCACTCTTTAAACACCCTGTATCCTTTAATCACAATGTACCCTCTGTCTGTAACCCACTAACACACCCTGTACCCTGTACCCTCTGTCTGTAACCCACTAACACATCCTGTACCCTGTACCCCGTATCCTCTGTCTGTACTCCACTAGGACCCACTGTACCCTGTACCCTCTGTCTATAATCTACTCACACACACTGTAGCCTGCATTCTCTGTCTGTAATCCACTCACACACACTGTTCCCTGTATCCTCTGTCTGTAGCCCACTTACACTGTACCCTGTATTTTCTGTCTGTAACCCATTGACTCTGTCAGGCTTAATTCCTCTCCCCTTCTCAGGCTCAGAATAAGGTGGCCAGCATCTTTGTGACTATTCACCAGTCTGTGAGCCACTACTCCCAAAAGATGAAGGTGGAGCTGAAGAGACACAACTATGTCACCCCCACCAACTATTTGGAGCTGGTGTCTGGATTCAAGAAGTAACCATCTCCCTGGGCCTCACTGCCTGTCCTCTGTCAGCTCGCCACTTCTGCTGAATCAAATGGAGCCCAGCATCTGCCTCCGCTTGATATGCGCCTCTCTGTTGGTGCCCTTTTGCACCCCCTTCTCCTGCTGTCTGTTGGCCTGCCTATCTCAGTCAGCAGCTCTCACTCCCTCCCTCTGTGTCTGTCACTCTGGCTCTTTCAGCTGCTTTACAGTAGCCGGCTTGAACAGAAGAAAGGGCAGAGAACACGGATATTTTAAATTCTGAGGCTGTTCACCTCAGGAGGTGGTCTGATTCATATGTCTCATGCAGCCTGAGAATGGACTTGAAAAGCAGTTTTTATGCTTTCAGATGCAGGTCATTTGTTCCATTTTGACAATTCTGTCTGTCAGAGTATTCTGTCCCCATCTTTTTCTGTGACCTTGTCTGTCTTTTTGTATCCCTGTCTGTCTTTCTCTGTGACCATCATGAGTTTTTGTATCCCTGTCTGTCTTTTTTATGACTTTGTCTGTCTTTCTCTGTCCCTCTATGTCTTTTTCTGTGACCTTCATGTCTTTCTGTCTGTCTGTAAACCTGTCTGTTGCCCTGTCTGTCATAATGCCTCACACCCCTGTTTGTACCAGTAGCCCTGTCTGTCATTCTGTATGTCTGTGACTGGGTCTGTCTTTCCGTCAGTTTTCTTGTCTCTAGGTTTCACTTTCTGCTTGTCTGTGACCCCATTTTTCTTTGGGACTGTCATTCTGCTCTCTGTGACCTTGTCTGTCTTTGTGCATGTACCCCACGTGACTTAATTCCTGCTGTCCAGGCTTCTGGTGGAGAAGCGTGCTGAGCTGGGCGAGCAAGCGACCAAACTGCGCAACGGCCTCTTCAAGATCGATGACACGCGCAGCAATGTGGAGGCCATGTCCGTGGAGCTGGAGGAGGCCAAGGCCAAGGTGGCCGAGTTCCAGAAGCAGTGTGAGGAGTACCTGGTGGTCATCGTGCAGCAGAAACGGGAGACCGACGAGCAGCAGAAGGTCCGGGCGACCTGGCTGGGCTGGAGCTGCACCAATCAGCCTTGCACTTCACACCGAGACACTTTACCTCTGAGTGCCTTTAAAAATACAAGCAGAAATCTGGGGTCATGGAAATGAGCAGCTGCCTGGCCTTTTAAATCTGCTTGCACTGCTTTTCTTCGTTGTCATTAGCTGTTATCATATGAGAAAGGAAGAAGCATAGCTGAAATGTGATGTGGCGAAGGCTCCGATGAAAAATAGGCAGACGGCAGAGCGAGGCAGCGCTTCCAGCTCATCACTGCACTTCACTGCATCACATTATCCTTGGTTTGGAGAAAAGCCTTAATGGCTAATACAGGAAGTCTCCCCCTGGAGTCCCATTGATTGAAATCCCTGGGTATTGCTTTTCAGATCAGTTTAATCTATTTTATTTAAACGCAAAAACTGAAACACGTGGCCAACTCAATCTGCAAAGTAGGTTATGTTACTGCTGTCTATATGGGATAAATTTGTTAGCTGTATAAAGAAAGATTTTTATCTATATATTATTAATATGGCTCATGATAATCAGGATGAGTATTTGAAATAATGTTGGATTATATGATAACCAGCTTCTAGCATGGTGGCTCACTGGGTAGTGCCGCTGCCCTTGAGGTTTTGCATGTTCTCTGCTGGTCTCCTCTCGCAGCCCAAAGACATGCAGCTGGATGAACTGGCATCACTATGTTACCCATAGTGAGTGATGTGTGTGTGCGTGCTCTGCTGATGATTGGCATCCTATGCAGTGTGTCCCTGTGTATTCCATCTAAGATAAAGTTCTTGTACTAGACCAGGGATGTCAAACTCCAGTCCTGGGGGGCTGGATCCCTGTGTAGCTTAGTTTTCTCCTTGTTCTACCACAAATGATTCAGCTCAAGAGCTTTGTGGTAATTAGCACAAGGAGTTGAATCAGGTGTGTTAAATGAGGGGAAACCCAAAAATGTGCAGGGCACTGGCCCCCCAGGACTGGAGTCTGACATCCCTGTACTAGATCATCAATCCAGCCATCTTCCAAAAGCTTATCCTGGTCAGGGTGACGGTGGAACCTGTCCCAGGCAGCACAGGACACACTCAAACACTAGGGGTAATTTCGAGATGTCAGTTAGCCTTCCTGCTTGTCTTTGGGCTGTGGGAGGGAACCGGAGTATAGAATTGGCGGAGTATCTGGGGGAAGCTGACGTAATGCAGGGAAAACATGCAAACTTTACAAAAAAACCGCCTGGTGACTCTGCGGCGCCTAATACTGGGTCAGCGACTGGGAAATGAACAGTGGCACTGCTAGCATGACTCGCTCTAGGCATAGTTACTGATGCCCCACATCTTCTCTGCTCTCTGTTGCTCTTTGTTCTAGGGGTTTGCAGGGCCAGACAGTAAAATAATGGCTTATTATTGGTAGTATTACCTAAGTTCCATGGAAACTGGTAAACATTAGCTTAGAAATGATACCCGATTGAAGAAGAAGTTTCCATTTTTCGAATCAGTAGTCCTTTCCTCTTAGATTTTCTCCTTTGTCCTATTATTTTTGGCAAGTAAGGAAAAAGTAATCAACACAGGGGTGAGGCCATTTTACATCACATCAATACCATGTTCATTCACATTAATTAAATGTAGAGTAAAATAATAACTTGTGCTTTTTCTGTGTGAATATGTGTATATGAGCCTGTTTGTTCATGCGTGTATACACACACATTTGCGTGTTTATGTCTGTGTGTAGGAGGTGAGCACCCACAGTGAGAAAATCAGCGCAGAAGAGGTCAAGTGTAAA